AAAAAAAAAAAAAAAAAAAAAAAAAAAAAAAAAAAAAAAAAAAAAAAAAAAAAAAAAAAAGCCCTACCCAAGGTTCTCTATTCTTTAACCTCTGGAAGGCAGACTGAGTATTCTTTACCAAGGATCATTTCTGCAGTGTATAAAAACGTAAGTATAATAGGTTGATTTATTCTGAAAAGGAGCGAAGATGAAAAAGAGAAAATAAGGATTTTCTCTTAGATAAATGGTGGTCAACAAAACTTCTATTGGGGGATAATAAGTGAACAGTCAAGTATTGAAAATGTAGAGGAGTTTAGAATTTTCTCTAAGTGGTGCTTTTGGGTGACCCAGTTTTTCCAGAAAGCCCCTGAAGTAATCTGATTTCCACTTTAAGTGCTACTAGGGAAGACGTAACTAGGCTCACTGAAATGTTAAGAACTCAGCCTGTAAAATCAAAGAGGGTATCTTAAATATTTAATAATAGGAAAGCTTTATAGATGAAAGTCCCTCGAATTACCTTCTACTACAAGTAAATACGATTTCCTGAAAACTTAAGAAACTTTTTAGACTGTACTTTTGTAGAAACTGAAATGGATATTTTTTGGAAAAACAACAGCAAAATGCTCCACCGTGTGCAGTACTCTACATTCTAGGCTGCAGTCCAAAGGGAATTCAGGGAGAGTAGCTGGGGAAGGAGGGGTGACTTAAGCAACTGGGTGAGTATTGGTGCCATTTGCTGCTAAGGAACCATGGGTTGAGAACTAAATGGGCAAAGTCAATACACATATTTATTTACTGAGACAGGGTCTTGCTCTGTTCCCCAGGCTGGAAAGCGGTGATGTGATCAGGGCTCACTGCAGCCTCAGCAGCCTGGGCTCAAGTGATTCTCCCACCTCAGACTCCTGAGCAGCTGGGACCACAGGTGAGCACCACCATGCCTGGCTAATTAAAAAAATTTTTTTGTAGAGACAGGGCCTTGCTATGATCTGAAGCTCATCTTGAACTCCTGGGTTCAAGCGATCCTCCTGCCTCAGCTTCCCAAAGTGCTGGGGTTACAGGTGTGTGCCACAGCGCCTGGCGTAAATGAGTTTCATCCATGCAGCTAGAACTTAGTAGGTGACCAAGTTAAGATGTGATGTGAACAGACAGGTATGAGTTGGAAACTCAGGAGAAAAGAAGCGGCAAATATAAATTTGTTATTCTTTGTGTTTTTTCCCCCAAAATATAGTCTAAAATGTCTAAATTTATAACCATAAACACTTTGTAACAACTATGACTTGGGGATTCCTATTCTAGGAAATTACCTTTAGAAATACTGATGCAAGTATTTTAAGATTTATGTACAAGAATACTCACTGCAGTGTTATTATAGGAAAAAAGCAGATGGCCTTCCACAGGATATCATGATACTTGTATCATGGAATATTAGGTAGCTGAGAAAAGGATCAACTAAATCCTTATGAACTGGCACTAAAAGTTGCCCACAGTCTAATGACTAAAGCAGATTGCAGAATAAAAATTACAGTACAGTCCTATGTATGTAAAAAGTTTCATAGACATATTTTACATATCCCTAGAAAGGTTCTCAAATGATATACTTGATACTTAATAGGGATTTTTATCTTAGGAAATATGATTTTAGGGGAACTTTTACTTTCTGCCATATATATTGTATATTGAGGTATACCGAGGATTTTGCAATGAGCATGAAATATAATTCTACTAAAAATGATTTTGAAGTTTTTTTTTTTTCTTAATAGAAAAGTTTCTATAATTGAAGTGCTTCCACTTCATGGGGCATAAATCAGAACGGTTTCCTTCTTCTCTATTTTTCACTCTCCTTTCGTTAGTTATCAAGCAAATATTCTCAGAGCTCTTTGTGATATCTTGGGGAAAACAGTCAAGAAGGCAGATAAACGGAATGACAATGTTTTGGCAAAGTGACTTAGAAGGGTGAGGCGTGGCTTAGGCCTAGGAAGCATCTGATACGTGGCACCCTGGCCCTGTGAATTTGGGCAGGGCAGCCAGGGCTGGGTTGTTCCTGTAGGTCAGAGTGAGGAAACAGACAGAAAACGACCGACGGTCTGTGCACGCGGAAGTGAACAGCCACTTGGGGCCACCACAGACTGCGGTACTTTCTTCACAGCCCTATCAAGACGAACCTTCCCTGTCTTATCATAGTAGGCTGGATTTTGGACACAGCAAGAAAGCAGGGAACTGCTGACACTCCTAGCCTCTGCTGCATGGCCCAGAAGAGTTGTGTCCAAGTCCAGTTCCTCAGTGAAACCTCATGACAACACGGAAAGGAGGGTGAGAAGGGTGAGAAGCCGTTCACTGTGTTTACTTGTGAGGAAACGAGAACAGTAGTGAGCAGGGGACTTTCTTCCTCTGTTCTGAATTGGGTACAGATCAGTCAGGGTGGAGAGTCAACAGCTAAGAGTCCAATTGGGCCATTTAACAGAATTTGATGAAGGACCATGTGTAAAGCATGGATAGGATACAGAGAAATGTTACAGACAGTCCTCTGGACGATAAACAGTGGGCACCATGACTAGCCTTGGGCTGGGAGGGAGGAAGAGGGGGGTGGTGACTTGGAGAGATGGAACTCTTGGGCACATCCCCTGGCAGAAGCTGAAACCTTTGGGAGAGGAATGCAGCTGGCCCATGACTCTGTAAGGAGAAGCCTGGGTGGTTAATGGCCTGACCCCTTTCTCCTCTGCCAGCTCCCACCAGCCAGCCCAGCAAGAAGCCAGAGGGCAAGGGGACCCAGAGCAGGGTGGCAGCAGATGAAGGAGGGAGGCATGAATCAGGGAAAGTGGAGGGAAGATACCAACACACTGTGGGGGTTCTGTAGGGTTTATATCTTTGGCAATAAGAATGTATGTGTATATTTTCTGTGAAACACACACGTAGATTCCTAGGCAAATCAGCTTCTAAATGAAAAGCCACCATGACCCGTATCTCTCTGGGACTAGCCTATCTACTCGAGAAATGCATGTTACATTTCTGTGAAAACACACATTTTTAAATCTTCCATAGGAATGTTAATGGAATCCTTGCATGTTAATCTTGAAATATTTTTAATTTTTTTTTTTTTTCAGTAAGAGAAACATACAGTTAATGAGGGCCCCCGACTTATTTTATTTTTGTATGGACTCTAAAGTGTGTACCAAGGATTGACCTAAAATAAAATCACTTCATTGAAACGCTAGCACAGCCACCTGCTCGTATCCCAAGCAAAGCGATTTTAGAAGTTCATTTGAGCCTGGCATGGTGGCTCATGCCTGTAATCCCAGCACTTAGAGAGGCCAAGGCAGGTGGATCACTTAGGCCCAGGTGTTCAAGACCAGCCTGGGCAACATGGCAGGATCCCATTTCTACAAAAAATAAAAAAATTGGCTGGGCATGGTGGTGTGTGCCTGTGGTCCCAGCAGCATGAGAGTCTGTGGTGGGAGGATTGCTAGAGTCCAAGAGGTCGAGGCTACAGTGAGCCGTGTGTGTGAAACACAGTGAGACCCCATCTCAAAAAAATTTTTTTTTTCAAATTCAGGAATAATTTTTCTGAAATCCTACCGTTAACATTTTTACTGAACATCCTCTGAGACCTAGCTCTATAGACGTGTGAATATAAGGAAAGAATTTTACATAAGCGAGATTGATTGACATCTGCTGTTCTATATCTCGTTTTCTGCAATCAACCATATATTGCATCATCTTTCCACTTATATAAATCTAAGTCTCATGATCGCATATGTTCCACTGTGTATTTGCATTTGGCTTCTATTTGTTTGTCAGTATGCGCTTATGTTCAGAGGATAAATTCCCTGGAGCGGGACTGCCGGAGCCAGGACCCCGAGGAAGTCCTCAGCCCACAGATCCCACCACCAGTGTGCCCAGGAGTCCTGCTTCCTCCCCACCAGCACCACCCAGGGATTTTTATTAATCTTTCTAATTTTCACCAATCTGCTAAGTAAAAAAGAAATCCAGATTTTCATTTGGTAATGTAAGACTAATGAGTTGCTGCTGCTTTCTATGTTTAATGTGCTCACTTATACTTATTTCATGACTTGCCCTTTCATCTTTTTCAACCGAAAAGCCTACACATGCCATGCGTTAATACCTTTGTACATAACATATGCATGTTATATATATTACGCTATGCATAATAACCTTCGTACATAACACAGATTTATATGAGCTTTATAAAAATCCTGCCTCTCAGCACCTTGCTCTGTTCCCAACTTTTTTAAAAGACAAAAAGTTAGATTTGCTCTTAGTTAAGTTAAAGCACTCGAGGGCCTTGCTGCCTCCAGCACATCCTAGAACAGGCCTCACGGAGCGTGAACTCACCACACCGGAACACGGAGAGCTGGGCGAGCATCGGCACTTGATAGGATTTCCCGTCGGCTGCCACGAAAGTGCGTTTCTTTGTGTTCTCAGGTTGGAATCGTGATTTCCACAGACCCTTGAAATACACTGCATTGACGAGGACCAGTCTGGTGAGCACACCATCAATAAGATCTGGGGACAGCAGACTGTCAATCATATCTGTGAAGCCAAAGCATAAACAAGGGAAAAAAAAAACCTCAGGACTGATGGCTGGTGGCCGACTCGAGGGTGAATGGCAGCTGTCATCAGGTAGAATGAAAAATCAAAGAGTTTTAAAGAATTGTACAGAGACTGTTCTAAAAATACTTTTTTGTACTTTCTAGGTTCCCCACTCCCCGCTAAAAATTAAATTTAAAAAGAAGTTACGAGAGAAACAGAAAAGACTTTAGAAATCCCTAGCTAGGGGTTACAAAACTTTACATCAAGAAATTCTTTTATTATCGATTCCCTGCAAGCCCATGCTTTAGAAAACAATCTCACTTATCCAAATAAGATTTAATAATTAAGTTCTTCTCTTTTTCTTGCTAATAAGTGGCTGGTAGGAAGGGTTTCTGGTCAGTATAAGATAAGCAATTTTGTTTTGTTTTACTCCTCTTGGTTTAATTTAATCCCAGTCAAAAATAAACGCTTCAGCCTGTATGTTATTAAGGGTAAATGCTTCATTTTTCTTAAGATTTTAGAAATGTCAAACATTATTTCGGAATCTCTGGATATCACAAGGCCTCATAACTGTTTAAAGAAGAATAAAAACAAGAAATCAGTCTTTGTTGACGGATCAGGCATTGAGCAAGGTGCGAATATTGGAGACAACAGAAGAGAAGATTTTGAATGTTCTCACCACAAAGAAATGAGAAATGTTTGAGGTTACTGAAACCTCAAACACTGCACATTGTATACATGTATCAAAGCTTTATCACTGTAGCCCATATATGTACAATTATTATGGGCCAATGAAAAGTAAAATAAAGCCCAGGCATGGTGGCTTATGTTTGCAATTCCAGCACTTTGGGAGGCTGAGGAGGGAGGATCACTTGAGGTTAGGAGTTTGAGACCAGCCTGGGAAACATAGCCAGACCCCATCTCTACAAAAAATAAAAATTAAAAACATATTAGCCAGCTGGGTATGTGGTATACACACGTAATTCCAGCTACTTGGGAGGCTGAGGTGGGAGGGTCACTTAAGCCCAGGAGTTCGAGGTTGTGTTGAGCTATGATTGTACCACTGCACTCCAGCCTGGGTGACAGAATGAGATCCTGTCTCCAAAAAAACACAAAATAAAATAAATCTTTAAAAAGGAAAAAAAAGGCCGGGCGCAGTGGCTCACGCCTGTAATCCCAGCACTTTGGGAGGCCGAGGCGGGTGGATCACGAGGTCAAGAGATCGAGACCATCCTGGTCAACATGGTGAAACCCCGTCTCTACTAAAAATACAAAAATTCAGCTGGGCATGGTGGCGTGTGCCTGTAATCCCAGCTACTCAGGAGGCTGAGGCAGGAGAATTGCCTGAACCCAGGAGGCGGAGGTTGCGGTGAGCGGAGATGGCGCCATTGCACTCCAGCCTGGGTAACAAGAGCGAAACTCCGCCTAAAAAAAAAAAAAAAAAAGAAAGAAAAAGAAAAAAAGAAAATGTCTGTCCTAGAACTCCTAATTTTGAAGGAAAATGCTCTTCACAAGATGTTGGGAATGGTCCATCTTACTTGCATCAGGAGCGAAGGAGTGAACGCAACTCTTCTCACTTCAGGATGCTTCCAAAATGCTACCCGTGGCTGAAGCTTTGGTCTTCTAGTTAGCTTCCTTTTATTTGGTCTTTGAAGATTCAGCTGTGTAAGTGTGTGTCTGTATGTATATGTGTTTGTAAATAGGGATCACTAATGCCCAAAGCTATTAAAACTTAATTCACTGCATTATTAACTCAAATATGTATGTGTGTATAAATGCATAATATAAATGCAAGTTATACTACTTTAAATGGCGAGAGTAAAACCAACAGCTTTGAAAGAACGAGAATATCTAATTCAGGAATGAGAGTCTTAAGTCCTTTTAAATGAAACTCAAGAGGATTCTGGTGTACAATAAACAAGTGTTTACCTAAGTTATAGTACGTAAACACTGAAGTTTCCCACAGTGTGCTAAGGCAGTTCCATCGCTACTCACTACTTCCACAAGGGGGCACCAACGCCACCTTAAGTCAGGTCAAGGAAGGAAAATACCTAAGCCATAAACAGCCATCATTCAACCCAGCACAAGGCTGGCTGCAAACCGGATCTGTCCTGTGGGAGAGAAGTTAGAACGTTATGCCATCCCACTAGCAAGCTCATAACTGGCTTCCTAATAGTGAATGTTGTTTCTTGCCTGTGCTGGGAACATTACCCAGTTCAATTCCTGCTTGCCTTGAAGACGTAGCTCAATGATTCCCTGGACTTCTAAATCTTCTCTGATCATCCTCGCCACCTCCTAAGAGATGTCTCTGCTCTCAATTTCTGTCAAGCCCAATGCCTGGTGCCACCATGACACCTGCAGTATTTTATTCTAGCCAATTTTAATGTGTCTGTCTCCCCTAACTACACTGAGACCTGCATGAGACTCTGCCGCTGAATTTTTGCTTACTCCTAGCACTACATTGAGCATACAGGCAGTGCTCAATAAGTGTCTGAAGAAATCTCCTTAGCCCCTTTTTACAGAGACAAATAATGCCTGCAGTTGTCACTGGGAGGACTAAGGTATAATAAGGGGACATGAAGAAATAAAAAGAAAATGCATAGTTTAGAGGCAAAGAGGTACATGGAGGCCTGCCATTTGTAACTGACACAGATATGCATCTATCATCCATCCATCCATCCATCCACCCATCCATCCATCCACTCATCCATCTACCCACCCATCCACCCATCCATCTACCCATCCGTCTACCCACCCATCCATCCATCTACCCACCCACCCATCCATCCACCCACCCACCCATCCACCCACCCATCCACCCACCCATCCACCCATCCATCTACCCACCCATCTATCCATCCACCCATCCATCCATCCATCCACCCACCCATCCACCCATCCATCCACCCATCCATCCATCTACCCAACCACCCATCCATCTACCCACCCACCCATCCATCCACCCATCCATCCACCCATCCATCTACCCATCCATCCATCCATCCATCCATCCATCCATCCATCCATCCATCCATCCTTCCATCCATCCATCCACCCATCCATCTACCCATCCATCCATCCATCCATCCATCCTTGGATACCTACCTACCTACCACGTGCCTGGTACTCTCTTAAATGAGAAACCAAGAAGAAAATCTGCCCTCAAAAAGCTATGAATTAGAGAGAGAGGGGTGTAGGCTGACACAAAATAACTTGGAAAAGTATACAGCTACAATTTTAGTAAATACCTGGAAGTGGAATTACTCAAGGCTATAGGGCTAAGAAGAGGGTGACCTGACCTAGTCAGTGAGGTCTGAGATGGATGGGACCTCAGATAATGGCTATAAAAATAGCTCACACTGGTTGAACATTTACTAAGTGCAGGGCCCTTTGCTAAATGCTTTATATGCATTATTTACATCCTCATACCAGCCTAATACGTATCCCTATTACATCTTTCCATTTTACAAATGAGAATGCTGATGCACGGGAAGGTTAAATAACTTGCCCAAGGTTATACAGGTTGTACGTGGCAGAACTGAGATTTAAACTCACAATGTGTGCTTTTAACATTCATGCCTGCCACTCATGGATGGTACAGAAACAAGTCGGCCTTAACCAGGGAAGAGGGAGAGAAAGCATGGCAGGCAGCAGGAGTCTATGTGTAGGGTTCTCTGACAGGAGACAGGATGGTAAGGGGACTGGGAAGAGGCTGGAACACAGAATACAAGGCTGAGAAGCTGAGGCTGCAGTGGCCAACAGGCCAGACCCATCTCTGATGCCCTGCAAAGGGTCTGCATGTTGGGCTCTCCCACTCTCTGTAGGGAAGGAACTATCATTCCTGTGAGACGGACCCAGCAATCCTACAGACACAGACGGTTGAGCTCCAAGTGACTTCTGAGCTCTACCATGTGGTCATGTACCTTTCAGTGGGGGCAGTTCACACCCAGGTAAGGCAGTTTGGAAATCGGCAGGGATGTTTTTGATTGAGTGGGCAGTGGCCAGAAAGGCTATCTGTCCTGCAATGTTTAAAACAGTTCTACCCAATGAAGACCTGGGCCGCTTCTCCCATGGCTTTTAAATACCCCACTGGAACTCTGCATTGGTAGGACACCTACTTGTAATTATCTGAGCCCAGAACTTCGTTCTTTATTGTGTGTAAACACAGAGTAATTTTTCTTTTTTTGCATTCTTTTCATGTATGCTGAATTTGCCAGGAATGTGACTACCAGGACAATCGAGCAGAGCCTGTGCTTTGTTTTGTTCAGAAATTTGTCAAGTCTTGCCCCATTTCAGAAAAGAAAATTGCATCAGCAATAGTAACACAGCTCGTGTTTATGAGCTACTAGTACAACATGCCTTTTGTAGCTGTCAATTCACAATTATTCTGAGGATCTGACTACCTTATTACGTATTTGAGTGTAGTTGTACCCAAGGCTTTACCTATTGAACTACATGTATAAATTTCTTTTGTTTTCCTTTGTGTTATAGTTTGGTACTGTTTCAATTTTTTAAAAATTTGTGTGTGCATAGGGTAATATGATGTATGAATTTCATTTCAGAATAGTGAAAAGAGTATTAAAAATATTTGTTACAAACAGAGGAGTTGGGTCTGACAGGGTCGAAAAGCGCTGCAGGCGTCTCCATGCTCTCTTCCCACACATGTGGCGGTTTTCTCCAGGTACTTTGAAGACTGTCACATGGTATAACTAATGTGGTTTAATATTACCAATCTACAGATCAAGGCAGCGGCTAAGAGGACAAAATGACATGTCACAGTCACACACCCTCTAGCCACAGAGCCCGGACCAAGAACCAGTCCTGAGGGCGTCTGCTTCCAAACACTCTTCGCGGACCTACAGATGCCGGACACCTGGAAATGCCACTGAACACCTTCCTGTGTGCCGTCCTCCTCATGGTTTATAGTTTTAGGAAGGGCACCCAGACTGCATGCTCCAGGCCCCACTGAGAAGGGATGCCACGAATTTACCCAAGTCACCTGGGATCCCCTCCACCCTCCCTGAGCCTTCTTTGTCCCCTTCTTCACTAGTTCTGCTAGTGGGTCTCCAACATTTGGGTAAGAACAGTGACGGGAGGCAGAGGCAGACGGAGTTGCCAACCGCTTCCTGGGAGATTCCAATGCAGTGGACTGGGCTCCAGGGATCTGCCCTCTCAATGCACAGCCCAGGCAATTCTAATGCAGGGACTCCAGGATCCACACTTTAAGAAACACACCCTGAAAGGTCACAGTGTCCCTAGGTTTTGTCTTTGGGTGTCTTCTCCCTACTGACTCTCTCCCTCTTCTATGAAAAAAGACTCCATGGCCAGGTGCAGGGGCTCATGCCTATAATCCCAGCAATCTGGGAGGCCAAGGATGGAAGACTGCTTGAACCCAAGAGTTGGAGAACAGCATGGGCAACACACTGAGACCCCATCTCTTCAAAAAATAAAAAAAAATTAGCCAGGTGTGGTGGTGCATGCCTATATAGTTCCAGCTACTGGAAAGACTGAGGTGGGAGGATTACTTGAGCCCAGGAGGCCGAGGCTGCAGTGAGCTATGACTGCACCATTGTGCTGTAGCCTAAGAGGCAGAGCGAGATCCTGTCTCAAAAAAAAAAAAAAAAAAAAAAAGAAAGAAAAAGAAAAAAGGGTCCCAAATCTGTACTCCCAGCTTTCACATTCTCCTGTGAACTTCCAGACCTACAGTTCCTCCTGTGAGCTTCCACCTGGGCCTCCAGGTTACAAATATGTTTGTTGTTTTTTTGTTTTGTTTTGTTTTTTGAGACAGAGTCTCATTCTGTCACCTAGGCTGGAGTGCAGTGGTGCAATCTCAGCTCATTGCAATCTCCACCTCCTGGGTTCAAGCAATTCTCCTGCCTCAGCCTCCCAAGTACCTGGGATTACAGGTGTGTGCCACCACATCTGGCCTGCAAATTAAGTTTTAAAACAGCAACGTTAGACTCTCCTTTATTTAATGGGAGAAGAGACACATACAAATGAGTAATATTTTGAGATGCAGAATGTGCTATAATGGAAGGGTTTCTGAAAGTTGTAATTGCATGCCAATCATAATGGACAACCAGGTACCTATATCTTCTGGCAGAAGCAGAGGCCTGGAAGGCAAAGACATCAATCAGTCTGGAAGGATGAGGAGGAAATTCCAGGTAAAGGGAGCGGCAGATGCAAATGCAGGAAGGAATGAGCAAGAAAACCTTCAAAATCGACAAGTGCCTATGGGCAAGGACACTGGAGACCAGACATGGCAGGGAAGAGACAGTGGAGGGGCTGGATGCCGCTCTGTTGCCCAAACTACAGGAGAAAAACCTCCCAGGGGCACCATGAGTGACGGCAGCATGAAGGGGAAGGAAGAGAGACCGACCAGAACTTCCTTGGGTCCAGGAGTTTTTCAGTGGACAGGCCATTGGATTGGACTTGCAGACATGACTTTGAGTCCTGGGGGCCAGCTCATGCTTTCATTCACAAACTATGCAATCATGACATACTGTGGCCACTCACCCCTGGTTTCGTTTTTAACCCAGGTATTGATGGAATCACAGGCAGAGACTGGATCCTGAAAGTTCACATTCCGGACTTCACACTGGAACACATCTTTGTTCCTTGCAACAAAAGGCACTTCGATTTCAGAGGCATTCTTAACAAACACGGCATTAGCCACCGTCACGATATCTTTATTCTTCTTGGAGACAATGGCCTTGTTGATCTTCTTTAATATTTTACCAACTCCTAAAAGAGAAATCAGAAAATACAGCAATATTTCTGTAAGAATCTAGAAAACTTTAAAAAATCTTTTATATTGCAGCAAGTGAGAACAGCATAGGTCAGGTGCAGTGGCTCACACCTGTAATCCCAGCACTTTGAGAGGCTGAGGTAGGTGGATTGTTTGAGCTCAGGAGTTTGAGACCAACCTGGGCAACATGACAAAACCCCATCTCTACCAAAAATACAAAATTAACTGGGCATGGTGGCACGCCTGTGATCCTAGCTACTTGGGGAGGCTGAGGTGGAAGGATTGCTGGAGCCCAGGAAGTTGAGGCTGCAGTGAGCCATGATGGCGCCCCTGCATCCAGCCTGGGTGACTGAGCAAGACCCTGTCTCAAAAATAAAAAAATTAAAAAGAACAATATAAACAAGATAGCTATGAGGAGCAAGAAACCAAGTCTTCTGTTTTCTCAGGGGCCTATTTCTTAAGAAAAAGAGGGAGTAGGGTTAAAGTATAACTACTGAAGCTCTCGAAAATCAATTGTGCTTCTGCATCAAAACAGGCATATTCAAGGTGTTCTCACCACGTTCCCAATGCAGACCTCATTCACATGGTAGCCTTTCTGGGTACCGGGTCAATATGAATGCTGACACAGTCCTCACTTCTGTAGCCAAGGGGGAATAAATCAAAGGGAACTTCCTAATTCTTTATTTCTTGTCTAACATTATTAAGTGCTGCTTCCTTTCTTGCCAAAGATTTAACAATGTAATTTCTTTTTTCTTTTTTCTATTTTGGAAAAAAAGATGAATAAAATAAGCATTAGAAAGACTATAAAAAAATTACCATGCGCCGCCATCCAGAGCAATGTGGTTTTTACTTGGTATCAAGCTCAAAGAGTAAGGAGATTAATTTTATGGCAATGTAAGCTTTATTTTACATGAGCCATTCATACATGCTCCATTTAGTTTGAGAGGGTGAAAAAGAGGCAAATAAGTTATATGAAATGTGTTTCTATAGAGACCTCAAATTACAGATCCTTCCTCACTGCTTGGGGTCTCTTCAAAATGACACTGTCCTAAAACATCCTGCCAGAATCACCTTGATGGTCCCCTAGAGAGCCAATTTGCCACCCTGCATGTGTGACCTCTTCAGACCCTTTACACAGCGTAGGGCAAAGTCGTCTCAGGGTCCACAAAGGCAGCATGTGTAGGGCTTTACCACGGGGATGGCCCTTTCTTAGATGCTCATGACCACATGTTACAACTGTTCTATGGTGCAGGCCCATTTTACAAGGAAGAAAACGGGAGGCTTTGGAGGCTGAAAGATATTTCCAGGGCCAATTGCCAGCTCCTGGCTCTTTTGGGGTAGGGGTGAGGCAGTGGTGGATGGCCAACAGGCCAATATTGTCAGAACTTCAGAAATAATGACTTAAAATCGTGTGGCTCAACATTAAAACAAACAACGAAAGTCCAGTTGCTTTTTGGAATTGTCTCGGCCGATACAGCCTGGATCACACTAGGAAAGGCCATAAATTTTAGCAGTGATTCACCAGGAAGTCTTAAATCACCAAGAGTTTTCTGAACTTCCACGCAAGGGGCAGAACAGCGTGTTCCAAGTCTTTAGTCCTTCCACGCTTCCAACAGGTGAACAAACTGCAAACTCATACAGAAGTGTAATGCTGCGTCAACAGTGCAGTGAGATCAGGCATTTGGTGCTGGCAGCCCTGGAGGCCAGGCTGAGCAGAGTCGGAGGCAGGCGCAGAGTGAGGGGCACTGAATGACACCAATCGCCACCTCCCTCAACTCACTCTCCAGCTGACCATGCCAGTGTAGTCAAGATTCTCAGAACTTTCGGGCCAGCCTAGGTGGAAGAACACGGGCAGGAAAACTCCCTTGTTTCCAATGAAGTGAGCAGACCTAGATGTGAATGTGACTTGTGGAAGGTCGCAGAGGATGTTGGTGGCCAGGAAGGGCTGGGGAGCCAGTCGTGCTTCCTTGAGCGCTGCACTTACGGAGATAGCAGGTGGGACACGGCTCTGGGCAAGACCCCTCAGCTGAAGCAAAACAGTGTCAGGAGATGAAGCTCGTTCAGTTAAATAGGTCATTTGTAAAAGGGTTTTCTTTAACTCAAACTAAACCTTTTTCATTGAGCCTTACGTTGCTCTGGGATACATGTGCAGAACGTGCAGGTTTGTTACATAGGTACACATGTGCCATGGTGGTTTGCTGTACCTGTCAACCCATCATCTAGGTTTTAACCCCGCATGCGCCAGGTATTTGTCCTAATGCTTTCCCTCTCGCTTGCCCCCATACCCTTGACAGGCCCCAGTGTGTGATGTTCCCCTCCCTGTGTCCATGTGTTCTCATTGTTGAACTCCCACTTATGAGTGAGAACATGCAGTGTTTGGTTTTCTGTTCCTGTGTTAGTTTGCTGAGAACGATGGTTTCCAACTTCATCCATGCCCCTGCAAAGAACATGAACTCATTCTTTTTTATGGCTGCATAGTATTCCATGGTGTATGTGTGCCACATTTTCTTTATCCAATTGATCACTGATGGGCATCTGGATTGGTTCCAAGTCTTTGTTTAGCTTTATATTTTGAAATAATTATAAATTTACAGGAAGTAGCAAAACAATATGCAGGGAGGTCCCACATGCCTTTCACCCAGTCTTCCCAGCAGTACTGTTGTCACATCAGGAAATTTCCGTCAGGTCAGTCCACAGGGTGCATTAGGATTTCACTCATTTTTCATAGACTCCTGTTATGGGGTGGGTGGGGAGGTCTGTGCAACTTTATCCTTGGTGCAGATTTGCGTGACCACCACCACAATCAAGACCCAGCACGCCTCCATCATCACAAGGCCCTGTGCGCCCCACAGCCAGCCCTTCCCAGCTCCTCTCACATGCTTTACAAGCACGTCTACAACCACAGTACAACTCAGCCCTGGGCACCATGGAGGTGGTAAGCCAGGAAGTGTCCCCCTGCAGGGATGAGGGCTGGAGCCCTGGGAAAGGAGACCTAGTGGCAGACCCCAAGCTTAAGTCACAGAAAAGGGACCAGAGTCTAGCTCTTCTAACTGCCAGCACCACAGTGTCTGTTCTCTAGAAGCCAGCAAAACCCCTCTGGCTGCTCTGCTTCTTGGGGTTGTCAACGAAAACCAAGCCATAAACCCTCTTGTCCCAAGACTCTCAGGCAAGGGCCCCGCCAGTGAGCAACTGTGCACACGCACCATTCACGCCGTATCTCATCACCATGGCAAGCTGCTTCTTGGTCCTGCCGTCTGCCCCCAGCTGAAGCATCCCCAGGACCGATGAAATCCCGTGTGGGGAGACCACGATGTTGTCATGAGGCCTCGACTTGACAATCTGATTGAAAACCTGAATCCCTGTGTTGGAGCCTAGTTCCTCGAGAGACAGAGGATTGAAATGGGAGCAGATGGAGGGCAGCGTCACAGAGGCCAAGAGGAAGAGGGAGAGGTGCCAGCTCATGGTTCCTTCCGCCAAGGACGACCTGAAAAAGTAAGTTAAAGAATATTTAAATTACACTTAAATGGGCACTTTACTATTTGCGTGTGTGTGTGTGTGTGTGTGTGTGTGTGTGTGTGTGTCTGGTTTTTTCTCCAGATGGAGTCTTGTTCTGTCACCCACGTTGGAGTGCAGTGGTGTGATCTCGACTCGCTACAACCTCTGCCTCCTGGGTTCAAGCAATTCTCCTGCCTCAGCCCCTCAAGGAGCTGGAATTACAGGCATGTGTCACCATGTTGGCCAGGCTGGTCTCAAACTCCTGACCTCAAGTGATCCGCCTGCCTCAGCCTCCCAACGTGCTTGGATTACAGGTGAGCCACTGTACCCAGCCTAGGAGACCATTTTGTACTCACCTATGTATGCTTGACTGTACTCAGCATAACTGAATGCCATGTGAATACATTTAAGACAGAAAAGTGTAATTAAATCCGTTTTTAAAACACACTGTGGGGAGGTGGGGAGAGAGGAAGCAAAATTCCATCTCTTGGGTCCTTACAATGTGCCAGGTCTTATACTAATCATTATTTAATTCTTGTGTGTTTTCTTTTTTTGCTTTGTTTTGTTTTGTTTTTAAGACGGTCTCACTCTGTTGCCCAGGCTGGAGTGCAGTGGCACAATCTTGGCTCACTTAAACCTCCATCTCCCGGGTTCTCATGTCTCAGCTTCCTCAGTGTCTAGGATTACAAGTGTGTGCCATGTTGCCTGGGAAATTTTTTTTTTTTTTTTTCCTGTAGAGACGAGGTTTCACCATGTTTGCCAGGCCGTTCTTGAACATCTGGCCTCAAGTGATCTGCCCGCCTCAGCCTCCCAAGGTGCTGAGATTACAGGCATGAGCCACCATGTCAGGCCTACTCATTATTTAATTCTCAATAGTGCCCTTCATCCAATTAAACCAATATTTACTGAAGGTCCACTGTGTGCCAGGCCGTTTTCTAAGTGCTAGGCATATGATGTAACTAAATGGACAAGATCCCTGCCCTCACTGAGCTTACAATCTAGAAGGGAGACAGAAAATAAACCAGCAAGCAATAAAGCATTTTCAGAAAAGGGTAACGGCCATGATAATAAAATACAGGAATGGGAGCAGAGAAAGGCTGACGGGGGTGGGCATTAGACAGCGTGGTCAGGAAGCCATCTCTGTGGCAGGAACATGGGTGATGAGACCTGAATGGGGGAAGGAGCTACAGGCTGATGGGTAAACAGTGCGCTGGGTAGAGGGAGAACAGGGCCAAGGCCCTGAAATGGGAATAAACTTGGTGTATTAGAGGCCAGTGTAGATGTCAATGAAGTTAAGGTCGTGGAGAAGAGAAGGGAGACAGGAAGGTGAAGCTGAAGGAGAGTTCAGATCTAATAAGGTCCTGTAAAGCCTGGAAAGGCACTGGGATTTCATCCCAAGGGTCACAAGAAACCCCTGGAGAATTTCAAACAAGGGAATAAATCCCTTGGCTTGCTATGATTATCTTATCACCACTTGTGCTTGATTCTTTTACCATAAGCACACTGCTTTTAAAATGAAATTACTAATTAAAAGACACTTAAGTGACAGCTTTAAAGTTACAACAGGGTAGAACAATAGTAAATTCAGAAATTTTGAGGATGGCGCTGCTTACACGGACACTCTCAACTATAGTGATTTGTTTTAAATAAGCTTCCTTCCTTAATTATCACTCACCGGAGCTCTCGCTGGCTATGAAAAGTAAGAGGTAGGAAATTTACATGTATTTATGGAAAAGCAAATACTTTCCTTAAGTAAGAACTTAACAGTGGCAGCTGGTAAAACAAAAGCAGCATTTGTGATGCGGCTAATTCAGTTCTTCCCTGAGAGGCCCGAGCTCCCGCTAAGCACAAGTCTCCCGTGGAGCCAATGTGTCCCTCTCTCATTACGTGTGGGAGGTTGGGGTGACTGCAGAGAATAAAACAGAGGGGAGCCTTTGAAGAGACAGGTGATCTGGAGGGAGGGGGAAATCCTGACTCTCTCTGTGTGCTCTGGGGGGAAACACAGGCACAATGACAGGGTTAGGCCAAACTGGCCCTGTATTTGGTGTCTCCTTGCCTTCCTTTCAATGCACTTCCTGCGCTTCCCACACTAGGGCATAGGAGATGTTCAACAACCACTTGCGAGATTCATCCGATGGGTCATAAATACTTTGTTTTTATTAATTATTTTTCACTGCATCAAAATGGTGTTTATGGACTGTGGCTACAAAAATGCTGTGTTTAATCCTGATCCTCAAGGTCAACTCAAGACACTCTCCAAGGGGAGAGCCAGCACTACATCCAGCAAGGACTGTGGGCACACACAGAACTCCCCACCCGGCTCCCCAACACAGATGGCCCCAATGTGAACCACTGAGGCCATCATTGTAGTTGACGTTGCAATTTTCTTATATGTTGTGAAACAAGCATTTTTCTAAAGATTTAGAACGTTCTGTGTTTCTCCAGAGCTTCATTGTAAAACGATTGTGTAAACTCAGCCTGTCTAAATTCAAAACATGTAAGTGACCTACATACGCTGCTCCTGCTTGGGCTGACTGGCCAGCGTGGCCTATTTTGACTTTGGCACCTAGGACTGGCTCTAATGCCATGACAATCCACTGAGTTTCCTGGAGCCTACTGGACATTGGAGAGCTTCCAAATCCCGACCATGGAAGCTTTATTCATTTCATCTAAAAACTAGAAATTTTGTTCTCCTCTCCCTGCCTCCCTCTTGCCTTTTCTTTCTCTTGAGCAGTAAGTTTCCTCTTTAAAATTTAATACAGCACAAAGCCATCATAAGTATAAAACAATGTGCACAATCTTTGTTAGAAATGTCCAAATCCAGTGGCCAACTTCTTCCATCTCAATTGTGGACTCTTGCATTATAGTCTATTCTGGTATCTATATTCGGCCTGCTGTAATCTGTACTCCTGGAGCCTCCTCAAAGAAACTCTCCTAGATTAGTGAATATTTGAATAAATATTAGAATTTGCATTCATAAGCCACGGTCATTAAACTAGTTTTCCCTCTGGCAGCTTAAAGTTGATAGACTCAAATACTACAGATATATAGAGAGAGAGAACATTGTAAAAACAGGGCGAATGGACCAGTGACCATGAGACATCTAACAGCTCCAATGTCTTAAAGTCACAAGGACAGTCTCTCAAATAAATAGGTATCTTATTTAGCAGAATTTTGCTTGGTTGTACATTTTTGCTCAAAGAATAATTTTACTATGACATGGAAAAAAGCTGCTTTGGGTGTTTTTCTGTGTTTCTTGGACTTGGGAAGTTTTTGAGAGCTGTCTATGCACAATTTCATAAAAGTGCACTGGACAGTGTTAAGCTGTGCAGAACCTGGAATCAGAGCTACTTTTGATTCATGTACTGAGACAACTTCTCCTTGGCCTTGGTTTCCTAGGCCAAATGCTCACTCGTTTAAATTCACCTGGCTTACATATATCTAAGAATAAGGTTTCACTTTTCTCCAAAGTTCAGTAGCCAGGAGAGTGGATGGTGATCTATACATTCCTTTAGGCTTGCATAATTCCTCACCATGAAACACACTCGTGTCCAAATAGACAATCGTGTACATGAAGTAACCTGGAATTCTCAAGCTTTGCAATGCTTATCCCTCGAATAAGCAGACGCCATAATGGGAAGTACATAGAAACCTCCTGTACATTTTCCTTTTTAAGAGAAATTACACTTTACACTTTCAAATCAGAGAGAAATCAGAGTGCTGCCCTAATGTACTGCATGGCAACAAGACGGAGGATTATCGTTTTCTTGAATATTGTTTTCACAACAGCAAAAAATAAGTCTCTAGGCCATCATTGGAGGGAAGACCATAAGCCCATCAATAAAGGCATCGCCACAGGCATATCCTTCCAAATGCCAGCTATCTCCTTTCCCATGTTCTTCCAGTTTCTCTTACTTCAAACCTTTCTGCTTTTCAGTATGGGGAATGTTTTTGAAATAGTTGGGTGCTGCTTTGAGTTTTAGCCATGATTTAATGCAGTAACTAATGGGATGGTAGTTTTACAAATGCCAGACTTAAAATATATCCCCAACATTTATAAATGCACCACTTGCCAATGGCAGACATTAGAGGAACCCACTCTATCTACAGACGCAATGGCGTCAACCGTTTCTTCTACACAGGCGATGCTCAAATATGCAGCTCGAATCCTCAGACTCTCTGCCTTCAGTGCCACACTTTCAACAGTTTGCTGCCTGTTTTCACTTGAGTGTTCCGAAAAATTAACCCCTGGTGGGCTATGCGGCAAGGGGCGCTAGTCTCCAAAAATTTACCAACACTTCTCTTTTTCAAGAGTCATAGTTCCTGCTGATAGAGCTTACCTTCCCAATCCTGAGCGTCTGCTCCTCTTCCTTAGCCTCCACCTAGCAATGGCAACACTTCTTCCCAAATCCTTCCACAGTGTGTGTGATGTTTTCCCTGACTGTTAAAGATGGGGTTCTTCATTCCCTTCTTTGAATTCCTATCACATTTCCTATGTGCATCTCTCATTTTAGTTGTTTTCCAAGTATGTTTTCTTTCCTCCCAAGTAGACTAGAAGCTCACAGAAAGCAGGGACTTTAGACTCCTGGTGCCCACAGGGTCAGTTTAGGGCCTTACCGTTCATTGGTACACACAAAATCAGAACTTGATCGGTAGGACTCATCCAGCAAGTGTTTGATGTGAAATAGAGTGTTCTAAAAATATTTTTAGCAACTAAAAGTCAAAAAACATCAGAAGTCTAGATTAGGGTTATTCTCAGGGAAAATGAAAAAGAATGGAAGTTCTGGTACGACTGGGCCCTCACCCCCATGGCAAACGTTCTGCATAGCTGCCACCCCTATGGGCTGGGCACCTGCTTTCCAGTGTGCCCCGCTCCTGCTGCTCCCTGATGCCTCACACCCCGCCATGGCCGCCACTGCCATGATCTCTCGAGGCTGTGTGAGCACCTGTGACCAGACCCTTAGCCTGGAACTGGTGCTGAACAACTGA